ACAGGTCCTTGATTGAAGGCAGACTGTAACGTAATTGTTTTTTCTGAAGCCCTAATTATCCTCTGAAGTCTGTGTCTGTCCTGTTGGGTTGCAGAACCAAACTGGACAGTTATAGAGGTACAGATGATAGACTCAATAATTCCTCTATAGAACTGTATTATTGAATACAACATTGTTGAAGTGCTTTCATTTTTCTACCATTAACAGGTTATGAAGTTTCTTGCCTAGAAAATCTACCAGAAGGATCAGCTATCCTTGTTATATATCATGGAGTCTTACCAATTGACTACTATTTTTTATTCATAAGATTTATAGACTTACTGGGAGATTCTTCCATTCTGTGATAGATCATTTTATTTTTTATATACCAGGTAAAAAAAATTCAAAAAGTTCAGTATTAATTATTTTCAAATGATATTGATGCACTGACTTGGGAAGTCCAAATTTTCTAGTTCAAGAGCTTAGTTGAATTTATGTCATATCGGAAATGAATGTATTCTCTTTTCCTTTATAAGCAAGAACAGACTAACATCTTAGATTGTCTATCAGGATTAAGTCAATATCTCTCCTTCAATAAGTGTGATCAACCTACACGAGAAAAGTGTGTAAACATTCTGAAACAAGGGCACCTGCTGGGAATTGCACCAGGAGGATTACAAGAGCTAAATTATGGAAATAACTACTATAAACTAATATGGGGAAAACGGAAAGGATTTACGCATGTAGCTCTAGATGCAAAAGTGGTGAGACATTACATCTTTTTCCTAGTGGTTTTTTTTATTTGGAATATGCATTTATAAATGCTTTATTTCATTTTGATGTCATCTAATAGTTATCTTTAAACTATTTGCAAATATACCAGAAGGTGCAAACAACCATGAATCAGATTTGACAGGTCAGGAAAAGGCCAGTCTTCTTTCTCCATTCACATAGTCAGTATAAAAATGTTAAAGTTCTCACGCACATATGTGCTAGACATTTCCAGCTCTAGGGGGCAGTGCTCATCTCCATTTCTAAGCTGAGGAGCCAGCACTGTCCAAAGATGTCTCCATGGTCATGTGGCCAGCATGACTAAAAGCTGAAGGTGCACGGAGTGCTCTTACTTTCCCACCAAAGTGGTCCCTATTTTTCTACTTGCATTTTGTATGTGCTTTTGAACTGCTAGGTTGGCAAAGGTTGATAAGTAACAGGAGCTCCACAATGCCCTATAATCAATATAGGGAATTGTAAAATCATCTCCCTTCAAAAATATATTTAAATTATTATTATTGTTGACTATGTGAATCAAAGTACAGAAAAATTGCAGCACGCTGTGAAAATGGAGAACATTATAAAAACAACAGAAACAATGGTAGAATATAAGGAAAAAACAGCTGAATGACAGATTAAATGGATGGAAAAACAAAGCTTTGCATGGACAGCACTTGAAAACCATTGAAAGAAAATGTGATAACAACTTGATATGGACATGGCTTAAGATGTGAACCATCTAGAAAGAAACAGAAGATTTAATACTCACTGCTCAAGAAGAAGCACTACAAACTAATGCCATGAAAGCAAAGATATGAAAAACCACTGACAAACCAAACTGCCAACAAATTGTTGTTGTTGTTGTTGTTGTTAAAGATTTGATATTCAAGTTGATTCACAGCCTGGGACTAGTAAAAACTTAATAATTTAAGCCCTAACCAAGGACCTAAGAACTATTAAGGTAATGTCTAAGTATATCGGCAGTTCTGAGTAGGGTGGTTTTTTGCAGTCTAGGATATTCAGGTCTAGTAAGTTCAAAATTTCCATCATCTAGGCAGCTCTTTTGGTATTGCTCCAATGGCTCCTATTACTTTTGGCACAACCATTGATTTCTTCCTCTTCTTGATTTTTTGCTCTCATGGAATTGATCTGCAACGTTTCTTCTTGGGCAGCCAAAATGAAGCCTTCATTTTTTTTCTTCAGCACTCCTGATCTCAACCAGTTGTTGTATCTTTCCTTCAATGTTCTTCAGCTATTGACTGGGTGCATAGGCTTCTTTTTCCAGTTAAAAACCTGATGCTTAATTGTTTTCTTTTAATATTCTGCTTTTAATCTTGTTGTTTTCAAGAGGTTTCTCTTGTTCACCTTCTTCAGCAGAATCTCTTTTGCTTTTTTATTAGTCATTTAAGCCATATTCTTTCTCTTCCACAGTTTGTTGCACCTGTAAGAGTCCTTTGCCACACTGAGATCTTGGCCAGTACAATAAACTTTTTGGGTTAGAACATGGAGCATTGTCATTCATTTTCTTGTCTTTTGATCCAAATTATCAACTTCTAGCCGAGTATTGACCGAGTATTCTAGCCGAGTATTTCAGCTTAGTATACAGGCACTGCCCAGTGTTAATTGCCTTTATGATGTTTCCTCCATTCAGTCTTTGATTTTCCCTTGTACAATCCTTAACCCTTTTCTCAGAATCTCATAACTTTAACATTCCTTTTAATTTTGGCTAGGTTTCCCTTTTCTAAATTTCTCCAATCTTTCTTCTTTTTTCCTTCTGGTTTTATTTTTATTTCCCTCTGCCTGTCAGCCATGTTTCCCCCCTCCTTTTTCAGTTCTTTTTTTTTTAAAGTCTCTTCTTGTATATTCCCTTCTTCTTCTTAATCTTGGGTATCTTATCTCTTTTATTTGCTGTTTCTGTTGTCTATGTCTCTGTTTTAAATCTTTTTATATCTTTTGACAATGGTCCTTGTTCTTCATATTCATCAAGGTTGTTATTTTCCTCTTTTAATTCATCCTGTCTGAGCCTTTGTTCTTCTGCAAACTGTGACACCATTACTTTATTCAGCATTATCTTGACCAGTCTCATTTTTTTCTTTAAGCACCTCTCTCACAGTTTGGAGCTCCAATTTAAATTCTTTTCTTATTTCTTCCATTTCTTTGGTCTATTAAGTTATTCTTTATTTTATTAAAAGTCAAGTTTTTCTATTATAGTCATTGTCATATCAGGAAAGCAGAGCAAAACTCTTTGGCTTCTATTAAAGGTTTTGTGGATGAAACATGGTCAAGACTATCAGAAATCTCTCACATTTTGTTGAGGCTTTAAACAGGATACATTGGACCAGATCTCCACCCTAAAATTTACTTTTTCCAATGTATTACAGTGCCAATTCTGAAGAAGGCAAAACCAAAATGTACTGGTAAATTACAAGGAGAACACACACACACACACACTCCCTTCTAACCCTGCTGGAGCAGGTGATTGGACTAGAATAGATATTTCATCTTTCTCATCCCTCCCTCTCTCCTTCTTTATTTCTTTTTCTTTCTGTCCTTCCTTCCATCACACCCACCTTTCTTTGTCTGTCCCTTTTTATTTCTTTTCCTTTTCTCTTTCTTTTCTTCCTTCTCTCTTTCTCTCTCTCTTTCTTTTCTCTCTCTCTCTCTTTCCCTCTCTCAGGCTCAACCCACTGACTTGGTGCACTGCTCCTCTCAGACTTGCTTGGGCAGGTCCCTCCGGTGCAGCAGGCTCCATGGGGTGGACCTGTGGGGCCGGCACCTAGAATGCGGCAGTGGTGGCATGTTTGAAAAGTAGAGCAAAGTAGAGCCAGAGGTTGGTAATTTTTGCTAAAAAGAATCACAAAAGCTTCTGGGTTGTGCACAAGAAGGGACACACGTCAATGCAATTCAGCAACATAAACTAAAGAAATACAAATAAGATCAACAAAAATCTGCAAAGCATCTCTGATTAGATTCTATTCACTACTAGAATCTAATCATAATGTTTTGCCAATTCTAGTCCAATGACCTTCTCCAGCAGGGAGTGTGTGTGTGTGTGCATAGCTGTCAAAACTCCAAAAACAGATCAAGTAGCTAAATTAGAACACTTACTAAGCAACTGGCCATTAAGTGAGGACCACTTGTATTTGGTTTGCCAGTCACCTCGACACGTCCACCCAGTCATATGACCACCAAACCACACGTACCCGGTCACGTGACCAACAAGCCATGCCCACCAGTCATGTAACCAGCAAGCCACACTCTCAAATTAGACCACGCTCACAGAAATTTGAATCCCACCCCTGGGTAGGGGGCGCCGAGGATAAGTTTGTAACACCAAGGGGATGGTGGACTGAAAAAGTTTGGGAGCCACTGCTGTAACTTTATTTCCATTGTTTAAAAAATCCTTTCTTTTGGCATATTGTTTGAGTAATAAATTGTAGCTTATGTACAAACACTGTATACTGTATATCAATTGTAAAATTATAAATTATAAAAAATTTAGCGGTTCAACATTTTTAAACTCTTCCTAAGACTTTGATGAGTAAATGGAAGTCTATGTCTTTTGATCTTATTTAAAATCAAGTCAAAATGTATTATTGCTTCTATTCATACATGCTCTTCAGACAGAACTGCTAATCATAATTAGTTGCCTTGGTAGAACACCGTTGTTTGATTCATATACAATATTGAGCCCTAGTATGGATATTACAATTCTCACAGATAAATCACATTACATTTTAGTATTAGTGTCTTGTGAATTTGCATGGCATGGAAACAGACAGATGTCTGTGTTGTGATATATCCTGATCTAGCAATGAAGAAAAAAGGAAATCAAAGTGCAGAGCGATAAATATTTTAATCATAAACTAAACTGTAAACAAGCTTCATTCGGGAAATTCAAACCTATAGGAATTCTAAGCCAGATTCAGGTTGATAACATAACGTATGCTAAGTGATAAAGGAGATTGTTTGGTTTGAAGATTTTTGGTTATGTGAAGACAATTGAATAAAATTAATTCAATTCACTTTGATTGGAGATTAGCAAGCCTGCATTCGAGACCAGGAATATGAAGGAGTCCTCATCTGGGCGTCCCCTAGGCAACGGTGATTTCTTCAACTAATCTTTTCAATCCAGAAGCACTTCAGTGTGATGTGACCAGGATTATTCAAATATAATTCATAAGAGTGTGGAAAGATCATTTTCAAATGAAATTTAATATGCTGTTGGACACATTGAAATTAACACATTGAAATTAACATGTATTTTTCCCCATCTCAATCTTGTGTCTTCATTATTTTTTTTTAACAAAAGTGCCTCGGGGAACAGAAAACCACACATACACATATATTATCTAAACATATATATATATATATATTGTCTACACAGATTATTGTTGTTATATCACTGTTTTTCTTTGTTAGCTGTCTCAAAGCGTTGCCTAATGGCATGCAATATACTTCCTGGGATTTTCTGGTGTTTGTCCCGTAAAGCTTCTATTGCCTTTTGAGTCTGTTGGAGAGGTGAGGTGGGATGCGGGGAAAAAAGAAAAAAGGTCATATAATTAGAGTTACGTTTCAGAAAAAAAAAAATCTATTCCTACTGATGCCATACTGTACATAATCAGATAAATCATATTTTTCTTTTGGGTTAAATCATATGGTATATATACAGTGCAGAATGATTTCTCTGCCTGCATTTAAAAAACAAAATAGAAGCTGGCTTGTTGAGTAAAGCACAGTTAGGTACCAAGCACTCAACTATACTTCTGCATATCTAAATAATGTATCCCAATAACTGTTACTATAGAGTTATAATTTCATGAACAAAGTGTGAATCTGAATATATATTTTATTCCACTATAATAGAATACACTTACTTTTTCAGCTAATTGTTCAGCAGTTATATCTGGATCATATGGAATTGGTTTTCCAATATGGGTTATAAGTTTAACAGGAAACATTCCATATAATGGAAAGATGAACCATCGTGTTCGCTCATATAACCATCTCATTGGTCCTGTGTACAAGATTTAGAAAATTTCAGAAACGCATATTAGCAGCCTGCAAAGAGTTATGCATTAGTCTTTCTAGGAGCCTATATTTAAATACTAGCAATTTTAGTAGCAGTTTGGAACTTAAGGTAAAAGTTTTCCAGTTGAAGACAAAAATAAAGCTCCCATGTTTGAGCCCTACAATTTGCAAAGTTCAACTTAAATATTAAATGCATTAGAAAATTAGAATTAGGAAAAGGATACACATAGAACTCTTGAGACTGATAGAAGGCAAGCTGATGGATGGACAGACAGGTAGGCAGACTTCCTATAATAAGCACCAATGCATTTAAAGTATATGCCAACTTTGCTGAATTTCCATAATTTCTGGGTCAGCCCTGGGTCCATATAATCCCATGACATCATGTCAGTTGTGGGAAATGTACTGAATCAGTTTTCCAGCAAAACTCTGATAGTTGAGCTACAGTATCTTTGAAATTAAACATGGTAGACAAAGATGCAGATGCATAGATTTATAGCCTTAAAAGGAATAATATTCCTGAGAATACATAAAGTTTTACTTACTTATATTTCCATATGCTATATGTCCTTCTCTAGTATTTTGTGTAAACACAGGGACGATTGGCTAGAAGAAATAAAAGAAACAAGTAATGAGACTATTTTAGTTACTGTACATGAAAGGAAAGAAATGTATTGTTCGGACATAAAGTAGATATATTAAAAGATCATTCTGAGAAATATATATTGACAATCTATGTTGCTCAGGTCATTGCGTCTTTTGACTTCCTATCAGATATTTGCTTCTGAGATTGTAAACACTGCAACAGTTGCACTATCTTACTAAATGTAGTTTGAACTCAGCTTCTGACATGCAGAACTGTCGTCCTTCATTCTTTCTTCAGTGCTGAATACTCATGCATCTAATCGCACTCAGCATCCTTCAGCAAATGCTGGTTTTCACAGTCTCCTATAAGAGGTGGGATCATCATTGATCAACTTTCCAAGTGTCACTTCCTTTTTCACAGTTCATTCTAGGAAAGTGACATCGTGTGACCATCATTTAATTAAGATTTTAGTGGGGAATAGGTTATTCCTTAATGGAGGAGAAACACAAGATGCTCACTTGCACTTCCAAAATCTGCTTCTTATGAATAGACTGCAAGGACTGAAGATTTTGTGTCTGGCTTAGGAGCTGAAGTGGCTGGGAGTTGAGACAATGCAGGCAGGCTTACCCCTCTTAATGTGTCGTATATGGATGCAAAGTTCACACAAACCTCATTTCTTAACCAATTCCAGATATAATTTATTTACAGCTAAAGAGAGAATTTAAATTCCACTTGATGAGTTATTACGTGGTTTGGAATGCAAACGACTAAAGGAGAGAAGTGGTTTTAAAGACTTAGACATTTTAAGCAATATTACCATTATTAATACAGATAAAACACAGATAAAAGGAACAGCTAATCCAAAATATTATTTCTCGGGTGAAAATATTTGTGAACAAACTTAAATTAATTAGATGAAGGAACAGACATTTGTAGGAATGATAAGAATACAGAGGCAGAAATCGGCTTCCAATGAAGCAAAGCAAATTAACCCATTTGTTTTCTTTTATGTATACTGAGAGCATTTGCACGAAGACAAATTCCTTGTGTGTCCAATCACACTTGGACAGTAAAGAATTCTGTTCTGTACTGTTCTATTCTATTCTTTCTAGATTGAAGAGGTGTTATGATTTGAAAGAGAGTTGGATCTAAGTTCTGGACTGCCAAAACTCTGTGTAATAAAAAAAGATCTCGAATTGCCCATATATTTTCCAGACAGCTGGTTTTTGTGAGTAGGTGGCAATCACAGCTGCTTACAATCAACTGGAAATCAGAGGTTCCATCATTTTTCAAATCATAAAATCAGCTTTTAATGCATTTTGACTAAATCTCATTTTTTTTAATCAGTAGGGAGTTTTAATTTTTCACCGTTTCATTAGGATTGAAAACCTTCAGAACTGTAGTCTTACCATTTTCCAAGTGAGTTAATCTTCAATCCATTTAAAAAGGAAAGAAAACTATTTCTTCCAACTTTGTAATATGTTTAGACTTTTGCAATATTCAGCAAAGGCATGATTTTAGAGTTGCATTTGGAAAATGTTTAAATGTGAAGCTTTGTGAAATTGATTTAAAGAAAGATTTTTAAATTAATTGGAAAGAACTTCTAACCAAAACAGACTTTAAGATAGACTTAAAAATTCCAACATATAAGACATGGAAACACTGCATTTGGAAATTAATTGGAGGATCATTTTAAAATTAAAAAGGACTCCTTTCTTTTCCTATTTCCCTCCCAACAACAACCCTGTGATGTGAGTTGGGCTGGATCAGGACTAGCCAAAGGCACATATTTTCTGATTAATAAGAAGAAATGAATGTTTAGATCTGAGTTAATAGAAAAAGACACGTGATATGGAAAATGAAAATGAATTTGGTTGTATTTTAAGTGATAAATTTATTAATGTCAAATATATTTCTGGGGATCAAAGTGGAAGTTTCTTTTTCTATTTTCTTTGGGAAGGAAATTTTTTCTTTCTTTTCCCAACACTTTTCTATATTTTTTATTCTACTATTTCTTTTCTTTTTAAAAAAGATTCCAAATATATTTTTACATTAACTTTATCTATTAAATATAATTCTTAATAAAAATACTGAAAAAAAAATACAGAGGAAGCAATTGATAAAATATATAGAATAAATAGAAGATTTGTGAGAATAAGAGATGTGAGGTAATGTATGCTGCATCTGTCAGAAAGAAGATAGATAATCATGTTTTGATGCAGCAAAAAGATTAAAGATTGATAACACAGATTAATCTTAAAGAAATTTGTACTGGAATTTTGCATAAAAGAGTATTTTGATTGAGAGATTAAAAAAGAACATACTTTAATGGAGCAAATTGAATGGTATGAATTATTGCTTTTGCTTAGTTGTGTTTTGAATCTGTTCAAAAGGAAAGGGAATTTCTAGAAAAATATATAGGAATTGACTGAGAGGCAAATGAAAGTGTCAAAGCAGACTACACCAATACTCCAACAGGTGCAAGAGGAAATTGAAAAAAGATGACGTTGAACTAAGTATCATCATCAGTGATTATCAAGCATCAACCATCTGCCCTGGTGAAATGCTTGACATTTCCCGCATTGGCCGAGAGCTCAAAAACAGAGACGGCTCTGTGGCCACACGCTTCTGCAGGGTCATTTGCAAAAATGAATCAAGCAAATGTAAATTCATTTATACTATAAATTCACTTGCCAAAAGCAACACCAATCATAAGAACCTCTGTTCTCGCCCTAACCTAGCCATACAGCAACGTGCCCGCTCCCGTGTACTCCACACTGAACTCAAAAAATGTCTAGACCAGTGGTTCCCAACCTTTTTTTCACCCCGCACCCCTAAAGAAATTTCACTTGAACCTCACACCCCCTGAAATTTAGACTTTAGGAACTACTGAATGTGTTAAATATATGGTAGGATTGAATCTTTTCAACTATGTATATGACGGCCACTAAATAACAATACTTAACTCTAAAATGAAAACAAAGTTAATCCATTGCATAATAAATAAAAATGCCAACATATAGCCAATATCCTATTATTTACCTGGACTTTTCTTGCACCCCCTGGAATAACGTCTCGCACCCCTAGGGGGTGCGAGCCCCCCAGGTTGGGAACCCCTGGTCTAGACAATGGAGAGAAGGACCTGTACATTGACTACCCTGTTGACTGTATCAAGAGTAAGTCACACAACCCACAACTCAGCTTTAACCTTCAACCACAACCCTACCTCAACTAATCCACCATCACCCAAGACTAGGCACATATGCCCCTAACTACCTCAATTCCAACTGGAAGTACAGCTGGCCTTAAATGCAAGCTACTCAATGCAAGAAGCCTGGTGAATAAAATACCTGAATTTCTCCTCTTACTAAATATGGCTAAATTCAACATCAAACCGTGTTTCTCCAACAATACAGCCTCCACCAAAAGGAAGCCCCACCATGTTTTATTGGCATAAAATCAAATTAAGCCCCTCCCCCAAATTAAGGCCCATATTAAACATGCGAAATGAGGGGGGAATGGCAGGGGGGACTTGCCATTAGGAAGTACTTTTGTTGCATGCGCGGATATGGTGCTGCCTGTGTTGGTGGGGCACTTAATATCGGGAGATCTTCCGCCAATGTTGCTTTCCCTTCTCCCTTGCTGCCGCGGCATTAGACAAATGCCGCAGCATTTGGCGCAGCCACATGCGGCCAGTCAGGGCTCCTCCCTGCAACTGGAGCCCTGAGGAGACACTTGGCTTCAGGCGCTCCTGTTGCCACCTTCCCTTTGCCTTCGAAGGTAAAGTGAATTATTTTTAAAATGACACCCTACTACAACAAAGCCTCCCCTGCCGAAGAGGACAGCCCAACCCCATGTGGGGAGGTGAATCTCCCAGGGCCGCAGCGCAGAATTGGCCCACCTCAGGAGAAGTGCCCAGGCGCCATCCCTGCCAGGCGCCGGGCAGAGCGCGAACAGCTTCACCTGGGGCGCCCAGCACAGCTTACAGGTGGGCCCTCCTTCCTGGCAGCAGAGCTCTCACCAAGGCAGTGAGCGCCTCCCTGACGGACCCTCCACTCATCCCTCCAGGGCCGCACCAGAGCCGTGCAGACTGGGCAGAGCCGGGAAAGCGAGTTTTATGTTTTGTTTGTTGGTGTATTGTTTTTGAAAATTAATAAAATTTGTTTTAAAAACAAAAAGAATGGTCAAACAACTTCAAATCTCAACAAATAAATGCTCTGTCTTACATATTGGCAAAAAAAATCAGAAAATAAAATACAAGCTGAATAGTCAAGACCTTGTTGATGATCCAAGCTCTGTAAAGGACCTTGGAATACTCATCTCTAATGACCTAAGTGCTAGAGCCCACTGTAACTACATAGCCAAAAAGGCATTAAGAGTTGTTGACCTAATCCTACGTAGCTTTTTCTCTGGTAATATCACATTACTAACTAGAGCATACAAAACATTTGCTAGACCAATACTTGAATACAGCTCACCAGTCTGGAACCCACATTACATATCTGATATTAGCACAGTTGAGAAAGTCCAGAAATATTTCATAAGAAGAGTTCTCCACTCCTCTACTCATTGTAAAATACCTTATGTCACCAGACTTGAAATTCTAGACCTAGAAAACCTTGAATTATGCCGTCTTCGGTCTGATCTAAGTACGGTATATAAAATCATACATTGCAATGACTTACCTGTCAATGAACACTTCAGCTTCAACCATAACAACACAAAAGCATACAATAGATACAAACTCAAGGTTAACCACACCAAACTTGATTGCAGGAAATACGACTTCAGCAACAGAGCGGACAATGGGTTCTAACATGCCTTGTGCAATTAGTTTGTCCAGTTGCTCATCAATTTTGGGTTTGAGAGCAAAAGGAACTCGGCGTGGTTTTAGGCGAATGGGCGCGATGTCAGGGCAGAGGTTAAATGAGATAGGGGACCCTTTGTACTTGCCTAACTTTTCGCTGAAAACTTCCTGGAAATCTTGGACGAGGGCCGCTTCCCAATCTTCGTCTTCAGTATGGTGGA